TGGAATTTGCCTCCGAAAAGGTCTTTGCCCATAACAGGAAGCTCTTCTAACTTCTTCTTAGTGCCTTCGTGTGGTATGTAAAGTGCCTCCATCACGTACTTCCTACATGATTTGACGGACAAAATAGAGATTCTCGGAAACTGATCTAGACAAAAACGGAGTATTTCGTCCAGACATCTGAAGGCTGCTGCTAACATATCGGCTGGAATTTGTGAATCTTCCTCACATGCGCAGACGATATATTCAGATAATAAAAGTACAAAGGCGCTTGTTGGTGAGCCAAATCTAGCTGCCTCATCGACTTTCTTCATTGTTTCCTCCGTTGACAAATATTGACTTGGTCGGGGCTATGCCGCTATCTCCAGTCAATTTGTCCATGGCGGTAGCTGGAATAGCAGGAACCGTAAAACAAATCTTCTCGGTCCTTTTCTGGATACTGGAAATAGGCTGCCGACCTTTTGTTAAAAGCAGTCCATTTCTTTGTATCGGCGATACGTTGGATGTGATCAGCGCATAAACGATCCACTGGCATAGCAGGGAAAGCTGGATCTCGAGGTTCCTCCACGCCAGTCCGGCGTTTGATAGAACGACAGGTGGTCTCTGGCTTACTGCTCTCTGGCAGTTGCAGTACCCGAACCATATCTCTTTGAACCAGCCTCAGCTGAGAAAAATTACCAGGGTCAGTGGCCTCTTCATCGCCAGAACACACGTCTTGCGAGTAAGTGGAAGAGGGGTGAGCACTATCGACATCTATGTCAGGAACATCTTGAACAGAAGTGCCCAAATTCCAAGATGGGTGTAAAGAAAATCACACCTGCGATCTCGGGGGCGCCCAATCACGGCCGGAAATCCCCTGAAGAAGACGGCGCTGCCTTGTGTTTCCTTTTCTTACTTGGGTGACTTGAATCACTTGACTGTAAAAACACCAACAATATACTCGGAATTCCGGAGCATTGATCAAAGAATGACGTTGACTGCCCATTCCGCACGGGTGGAAGCTGGAAGTATGGAGCGCGATGAACTCACAGACGGGGCCGGTGGCGATTGAATCCTTTTACAGCTCCGTGACTGGTCGTCCCCGAGGGTTGCTGGAGCCAGCAGACTGGGGAGATCGCCGCCGGGTTGCTAGGTAACGCCAATGGTCCGGAGACCGGCAGTGTGATCGAGCGAATAGTGGTCCCTTTTGCGGTCTTACCCTTGGGACCACTGGTGGCCTTTGATGCGGCCTTTTTAACCGTGGGACTCTTACGGCTTGTCACCTGGGGAACTGCAGTTTATACGGGGAGTTTTATCCCCGGTGCCATCACGGTGTTCCATATGTAGGAGGTACGTCTGATGACGGCCAAAACGTGTAACACGGGGTGACCGTTATTCATACTACGGCAATGTTCCTGCGTGGGACTCACTGCTACCTTGTATTTCGTACTATCGCACAACCAAGATAAATGCAGTTGGGAACGGCCGAGGGGAAGGGAATGACCGCTGGTTGATATACCCCACGAACTTTCTCTTTACACGCCAGTCAAGATGGCCGAGGGAAGGGAACGGCCAGTGGCCGATTACCCACGAAGGTCTCACCGCTATCTCGTTGATTGCCGCACTACCAAGATAGCCTAGGACGGCCGAGGGGCAGGGAACGACCTCTGTCGATATACCCAACGAAACGTCCACTTCTAGCTTAGAGCTAGCAGAGACGGTCAGGGAAAAAAAGAAAAACCTGTCAATAAACCCCCACTGTACGCGACTCGCTAGGCAGTAGCTCACTACGAGCTTAGGGGAAACAAATAAAAAACTGGGAACGGTCGAAACCGCTGTATTCCTGGAAACGTTTCGCTAGTCCCCTGAACAACCAAAAGTCTGACTTCCGGAACATGGGCCCCACGTGTGGGGCGACTAGCAGACCTCATGGAGAATAACCGTGCTTCTCTCCGGGGATACGACGCACTGACTCCCCTAAAGCCTTTACGAAAACAATGACGACGAAAAGGATTCCAAAAATAACTCGGGAGACGTACCTGTCTCGAGACGAGTTATGCCCAACGCCAGCTGGCTTGGGTCCCGTCTATGGAGTCATAAAAAAAAGGCACTGCTTTTTTTTCAAAACAATAATCATAAAAATGGTTGTTATTTTCATCAAAGAAATATATTATTAGATAACTGTAAAACAGAAGTAAACCGACTCGGCTAAACAGGGATTGCACTTGATCCCAAAGGGAGAACCCACGATGCCTACCCGGCACTGGGTAAGCCCCTGCGGTGCCGACCTGGCCCGCCACACGTGGTTTCAGACAAAGGCTGAAAACCTGCTACGCCACGTGAAAAAAAAACGAAAGCAAAACACTCCGTCACTCCTTTTAAAAACTGCTTACTCAAAACTAAACTCAACAGAATCTACACAACTCACTTGGTTGATAAATTCTGTAAAACAGAAACTCTTAAAGCGAAAATCGTACAAAAACTCGTCAAAAGGCGAGAGCAGACCAGACCAGTTTTGATGCCATCGACCTAGAGTACCTGACCCAAAAAGTTAATTTCAAAATTTAGAAAGCCTGCCGCATGCATGACGTACGGTATGTTTAGAAAGCCCCTCCAGAGGTTTTCATACAGTTAAATCTATGAAGGTTCTGAAGGAGCAAAATTTTTGCTTCTGCACGATGCCGTCGCGAGAATAAAAAAAGGAAGCATAATGGCAGATTCATGACGTAGCATAATGGGTAGGCCCCGAGAGGGCGCTCGTTGGTTGATTAAATCTTTTAGCGTTTGAGCCTGTCGGCAGAATAAATATGCATATGTAGTAGCTATTTGGGTAAGTGAATAAAGTAGACTTGATATGTTCCTAAATTTGGAAATGTGTTATAGATGAAAATTAAATTGACGGCACGATGAAATCATCACATGACATATGACGGTATATTAAAAATGCATATTTTGAAGGCCAATAACACAAAAAAAGAGGTCCAATTGGGTTGAAAGCTGGTATGTACCTAGACCGGGATGTTTGATAGATGAAAAAAATTAAGTGACTTCATGATGACGTCATCTTGGGTCACGTGACGTCACGTTAAAAAGTAATAGATGTCATCAGTGAAAAACAATATCAAATCAACCGTGAGAGACCTGCACTTGACATTTGCGGAATTGAAAGAATAATCCGGGGTCTTTCTTTTTGATAATACGTACTTGCAAAATCACGTGACCTTTACTTCCGGTTAAAACCGGAAGTGCTTGGAAATTTCAAATTGGTATATAACGGGAACTTGCTTTCAACGATGTATGCTATGGCTAAGTTGTTCTTTACAACAACAAAAAAGGATGTCATAAAATGTTAGAGCGCCCTCTAGCAGCAGGAAATATTATTGATGATTATAGATGAAATTAATGTGACGTCATCACGTGACATGTAGGGTCATAATTCAAAGCCCTATCAGAATGTAATCACATTTGTTTATGACACCATTTATTATAAACAGAACCACAACATCCATCCCAGATGAAAATTATACTTCAAACTTTAAATGTCGCATGTCGCAAAAAAATTAACAAAACAGCCCTGTGTTTGTCCACAAACATAAGTTTAGTTTGTTTAATGTAACCAGACTTCAGGCGTTGATTACTCAAAACATGGTTTGGGGGTACATTCCTCATTTTGTGGTAAAAACAACCTGTACACAAAATGCTAATCATCCTGATCGTGTTCTTTACGCTGCTGATCGGTCAGTTCTCGAGGTCATATGTAGTCTAGTGGCATAATTAATCTGCGAATCTATTTACTATAATAAACAACCCATACGGCACTAAACTTGGCCTAATTAAACACTCCATAATTTCCTGACTAAAATCATAACGTATCTTTTAAAAACAAGAAGAAAAAACCTCTTTTTTTAAATTTTGCCCTATTTTCATTAAAATGGGTTTCAGCTAAAACACTACATATCGATGTAATCATAAAAATGTAAGCAATAAGTTCAAACCGGATAATTAAAAGACATTCAGATAAAACTGTCGCATGCAACTACACTATCAAAATTCTGCACTCTGATGTATTTATAGGTTTGTGATTTCTATCTGCTTTTGATAAACACTGATTTCTAGTTAGATGCAAAAATCTCCACTTACCTCCAGTGCATCAGTGATTCCATGAAGTCAAACTGTGTACATGTACTATAGGATTTCCCAGCCAAATTTGTCAATCCCTTAAAACTCTTTTATCGGTTTAAATTCAAGATAATAAAGCATTAGACAAGTTCTTGGCTGATAACACAACATCTTTGGATTGGCAAAAACAAAGACCTGTTTGCATTTTTGAAAATGGTTTGTGCTTAAAAAGTGTCTTTTCGCTTTTCATCAAATTCAAAAAAGGAAAAAATGCATGCTTGCATTTCACAAAATGACCAGGAAATCCGATAATACATCTATATTACTCAATCATTAATCTTGCTCTCTTTCATTCAATCACTCGTTTAAAGTTGGTGTATACGTGCTGTTTGTTTTTACGAAGAAAAAATAGGTTTTCAAATGGAATTGATAAATTGGTTATGAGTTTTCAATATCACAAGAAAAAAATTGCTGACAATAACTAAATAATAAATTATTTTAGACTTTTGAGTGAGGAGTGTCATGTACTTTATTCCAATTTGAGGACATTGAGTTACAAATACCGTTTCGCTCAAAACTTTCAGAACTGGAGTGTATTGTCATGACTCTGTTAACCTGCAAATGCTAACAACCACGTTTACCACTATATTCCTTCAAACTTCATGCGTAAAACAAATTGAAATTTTGGAACAGCATGTACAGACCAACTTTAAGAAATTGGGCAGATAGTATGCTTTATCCAGGCACCTTCTTTTAAATAATATGATTTAACATTTGGATTGGATTACAATGTGTACCATAAAAGTTAGAAGAAGAGTGCCCGGGTGCAGATGGATTTTGTGTATGGACAACCGACTAGGGGAAAAATTATAATAGAATGAAATGAGTCAGACACACACAATGAATTCAGGTCACCTCAATACATAATTTTACATTAAAAGAACAATTATCGGTCAAATACACTTTTAAATACCCCGAGTCAAAGTTTAAACAAGCACAGAATGTGATATTTCAAAACCACAAAAACAAACTTTCAATAACAATTACAAAACAAAAAGTAATATACAGTCAAACCTTGTGGTACAGCAAAGGGTGATTGATTCGGTAATTATTTTTTCATTGAAATGTTACATGTAAGTTAAACTTTGCAGCTTTGGGGGGTTTTTTTAGGTGTGTTTTTTTTTCGGGTTGAGGCTCTAAATATAGCGGTTACATCATCACCAATAATGGGTTTTCGGCCAACATTAATCAACGAAATAACCAAAAACTACATGCATACAATCAGTATGGCATGGTCTCATTAGTTCATGAAGCAAATAGTTCAATAGCCATAAAGCCAACACAATGTAGCACAGGTAATGACTGTTATTCTAATTTCAGTTCTGATGATCTCTTGACATGGAGATGATTTCTAAAAAAAAAAAAAGGATCGATAAATACACACCCTGGATGGATGCACAGTGTTTTAGTCCAATTCATCATCTGGCTCCTCTGTTGAATCACCACATAGCTCTTCTCATCTGTCCAAGAAAATTAGACTGGCAGGGGTATCGCATCGTCAAAACTTGATGTGCTCGGTTTTCTAGATTTCCAGACTTCGTTCCAGTAGCCAAACTTTACTCCATAACATTATTCCAGTAACCAAAGGCAGATACGCATAATAACATGCTGTTCATAACATAACTGTGAAAGAATGCCTTGTCTCTAACACAAAATGCACAAAAACCTCCTTTCCATGAAACTCTTCAACGAGTGACTTTTCCCGTTTATAAGAGTTCGCTTATCAGCTTATAATTGTACAAATTACTTTCAAACTCTTTTTTAATTTGATTACTTTTCAACCCGTAATCCACACAAAAAAGGGCAACAAACATGATTTGGGGTCACACATACGTCTGTACAGAAAAAGAAAAACAACTCAATTTTTGGAAAATAAACTTGAAAACGTTCAGGGAAAGGAAGTTTAAGCCTGGAAGATGTGCAAAGCCATTGTTGTGATCTCCATTTTATTAACATTAAATGTTTCATTTAATTCATTAACAAAAAGTATAATCATGACAACAAAATACCTGAAACCAATGACACTAAATACCAGTATGTATTTGTTGTGGTTATGGTTGCAGTGTTGTATATCCAGCAGGGAGGAGGAAAATGCCACCATGATTTTTATATGTTTCAAAATGAACCTCATAGTATCCTAATACCTTCATGCTTTGAAACACTTTAACAAGAAAAACAAATGCCACTTTTCAAGCCAAAAAAAAATTTAAAAATGGTGCTCCCTCGACCAAAAACTGGATATACCATTGTTCAGTTGTCCATACGAAGCTTAGCAGGGATGTAAGTGCAATCATCTCTTTGACTGACATTTCAATTACAAAATGTAGTTTAAACAAAGAAGGAAATCAGACAATCACATGAGCACTTACATCCCTTTCTGGGGGGTTAGGACGGAACAGGGATTCCGAATCCAGGCATGGTTGTACACTTAGAATTAGTCATAAAAACCGTAGTTTTAAATTTGTTCAATTACTTTTAGAAACTACATAACAACAATAAATCAGTCAAATTATTGTTATTATTCCCGATACTAAGTTTACCGCCCAATGTAGAACCATGCCTGTTTCAATCAAACAACTATCACTCCATCAACTCTATTCCCTCTCTCTCTTTACAATACCTTGGCATGCCTTGCTGATCAAGGGTTCTTCAGTCATGGAAAGCACCATTCAAGGATCCCGCTTGGGATGGGTCTGTGGGCAAGTGGCTTTGGTGAGACAGCAAGTTCAACACAACATGTGTTCTGTTTGGGAAAAGAGGAATACAAAAATAATTCAGCAATAAGTACAGACGCAATAGAAATAAAGCAAATAAATTTTAAATCAAAGGTCAGAAAAAAAAACATATCGATAAAAAATATTTTACAGTTTGGATCAAAAATTGGGCTGAAACAACAGTTTCAAAACAAGGTATCAACTTCAAAAACAATTGTCTCAAAATGCAGTGTTCGCACAGCGTGGGCAGATTACTGTTGCTTTCTCCATGCTCTTTGACCAATTCCATTATTTCTCAACAAATCTATACTTTATGCCAAGAATTCCATTTATTATGTTTTGGATGTCTGCACCAATCTGTACAAGGGGTTGTTATTGTAGTAACATGAGAGGGCATGCCTACTGGATTATCTTTGTTTGAGCAGGGACTAGGGGAGGGGAGATGATCCCCAAGACATTTAAGTGAGTACACAGGACCGAATATGTATGTTGATGGTAGACTGTGGGCCAAGTTGGACAATCCTTCCATTTCTTTTTGAAAATCAGACACAACTATTAAGGGAATAAATGTGTGCTCCGGAGGTTTTTATCACTCTGTTTATTAGACCGCTTAGAGTCTGGGTGCTGAAGAGGCGAGGGTAATTATCAGCACCCATGCAGAAGCGGTCTTAAACTGAGTGATAAATACCGACTGAGCACATATTTATTCCCATACATAAATACCTTTTCGGTAAAAAATATCAAATCATTTGTTCAAAAAATCCCGATTTCGTTCAACAATGCTTTTTGAAACATCCGTCTAGCAAAATAATGGAGTGTTCAGCTGGCAAGTAAGATGTAAACAACCCTTTTATAGAGATTGACGGCGCGTAGCATGTTCTGCGCAATGTCGCGCAAAACGCACCTGGGGCATTGCGTTTTGAATTTAAAACTATAAAATTCTGACACGCTGGTAGTATAGCGCATGCCTACGTGAGGATTGTGAACATTCAACCAATGAAACGGTAAGAGGCACATATTTTTAGGAGTCTACATTTTATTGTGACACTGGTGAAGTGTTTAAGACCAGCTAGACATGTCTTAATCATCCGTTTAAGACTGGCCACGTGACGGGCTCTCGACCAACAGGAATAGCTAAACTGTCTGAGGTATTTATGAAAATAATAATAATCACAACGGAAATTTATACCGCGCTAGTATCCGCCATAAATTACGCTCATGGCGCAAACAAAAATTATATCAAATCAGAAATAACAAAACAATTAAATCAGAAACGAAGAAACGAAGAAAAAGCCATTTGACCGGACGATGGTCGATAAATGATGTAAACGTCAAGGCTGGTACTATTGGAGGTCATGGTGGCAAAACCTCAAAACTCAGGTAATCAAAAGACGTGTTGACTGAAATGTCCAGTGCCTTCCTAAAAGTACGCCAACTCCTCCTCCTTGCTTGCATGCTCTGGGTTTGTGTTTGAATTCATAACCACAAGGAGTTAAGTCAGCTATGGTTGCTTCATCGGATTCAGCTAACCAGGTTTCGCAAACCCCAAATGTCAAAATTGTTTTATATGACAAAGACCTGAAAAACTGTGGATTTGTTGCGAAGAGATCGTGCGTTAAGCATGCAAAAACTAACGTGATCGTCAAGGTTGGGGATGATAACTTTGACTAAGTTCTGATGAATAGGGTGGGATCTTGGGGGTTCATCTACAAAAGCAGGGTGATAACTTTCAGTAGGGTGAGGACGGCCAATATCACACGTATTGGAAGGCCATGTTTGCTTTTCCTACGAATACCACCCTTGTAAGCACGTCAAGTACGACGGCGAGGTGATGTAGATTTAGTGTTGTGTGTTATGCAGGGTTTCCTGAGAAGTTTAAGATTTGAGATTTCATGGCACACCAACCTGGATAGTTTGCAACTTTGGGAAGACAAGTCAGGGTTTAGACTGAGGAGAAAAGTCCGATCATAGGAATGTGACATGTTGGTCATCGATGCCGGGCCAGAAGAGGCCATTCTTATACCTAGGTGGTGACAATAGGATTATCCCTGCAACACCAGCTGAAGATTCACTCAGTTTGTTTTGTAGAGCAGCTGAACTCGATTGTCCATCTTGATGAGCCTGTATGAGATGAATGTCATGTCTTGTCCAGGACGAGTCAAACGGATAGTCAATAATAAAGGACGGTTGGTGGCATGGCGTTTACGTAACAGTTCCATACCTCAGGGAATGGCATGATGAAAAATTGCAAAGTTGTGCAAAATATGCTCCAAATCACAATGATCACAAGAGAATCAGCCTGTACCATGATGATCACTGAGTCTCCAACATTCACATGATAACAAAAATGATAAATAAATGTAACAGAAACATAAAGAAATGTAAAAAAAAAAAAGAGCAAAATGTGGAGCTGCCAGACACTAGCACTACGCACGTAATGGTCTGAGAAGTCACAAAGGATTCATGTGGGTATTCCAGATATAATGCTGTCATCTGCGCATGTACAAGGGGCATGGAGTTTGGACCAGGAAATCTTTAGTCCAGATAATGTTCCCTGCCAAATACCACCTTTCTGTTAACCTGGCTCTGACAGCACAGGCCCAATTTTGACGTGTTGAGTTCTATCCACCAGGAACGCAGTCATCCAGTGTACTGATCCAGGCCGATGTTTGTGAGTTTCTAAATGAGGATATGATGATCAATATGGTCGAATGCCTTTGAATAAACAAGCAGCAAGATCCGTACGAATTAACCAGGTTTGTCAGTCGCCTCGTACCATCGATGCACCATTTCCACAAGAGTGTCTGTAGCGCCAGTTCTAGATATACATCCAAATTGGTCAGGGTCTATTTTCTCCTTGAACTGCGCGGTCATCCATTTGAGTATGATGGATTCAAAAACTTTAGCAGCGATGGGAGTCAGTGAGATTGGTCTGAAATCCCTCTCTACTGACCTAGGTGGGTGTGACTTTGGCACAGGAACGACGTCTGCAGTTTTCCAAATGGTGGGAACTACTCCTTCTTCAACAGAACTATTAAAGATGACAGTTAGCGGAGCAGCTAAGAAGTCTGAGATGTCACGAAGGATCCATGCGGGTATTCCATCTGATCCTGTAGTTTTGTTGACTTTGATGTTATCCTAAGCTTTTTTCGTTGTACAGACGCTACATTCCAAGTAGGGAAGATCACTGCTAACAGAGACAAAAAAGTAATTGATGTTGTCCGCAAGTGCTTGAAGATCACCATTTGTCATTGTGTTAGCTATGCCCTGTAGACTGTTCTCTCTGCCTGATGACGCACCCATGAGCATCTTCACTGATATTTTTCCACCAGTCTTTAGTAGAGCAGTTCTCCAACGATGCGATCTTGACTGATAGAAGTTGTGTTGGAGGTGTAAGTTGGAGCGATTGACTTAGTAACGAAGCTTTCTTGCAACCTCAATGTTACCTGCCATTGCTCTCTGGCATCTCTGTACCAATTTCCCAAACAAATCGGTGACCCATGGTTTATCGTTGGTATGCTGGGTCACTGTCTTAGTCGGAAAACATGACGCCATTAATGAGTTCATGGTTCTCTGGTAAATGGAACTCCTGTCCTGGCAGCTTTCCGAGTGATACAACTCCTCCCATTCGATCTCAGATAATGCTGACGCAAAGAGGGCTTTCTCTCGCAAACCCATACATCTAGTGGTGACCTTCACTTTGTGTCCAGAGACGGGGCATTTGATGGTGAGAATAATACAATATTATGGTCTGATGTCCCAAGTTTGGAAATCACGATCGGCTTATCATAAACTAATGTGCGTGGGAAAAATGGGGCATTATCATCTTTTTCTTCCACCAACTGTCAGTGAAATATATCACTTATGCTCTCCTCGCCATCCTCAAGATTACCATTGTGATTTTTAAAGCATTGCATTTTGTATGAATAAATCTTAAACCTCTGAAAATCGCACAAGTTTGATTTCATCCACTGTGGCTACCCGTCCCGTCCCGCACTGTGATACCATTGCATATGCTAGCTATGCACCACGCACCACAGACTGTCTGTGTGATGCAGTGATTTTTCCGCGTCACAGGTCAATGTTTTAACCTTCTATCCAACCGGAAAAGGCTCTGATCAGCATTGGCCTAGGTGTTTCTACGGTAGTTTACGATTGGTAAAAGAGATTAAAATGCTCGTGACGATTTTTACAGGCCCTTTTCATCAACTTTTTAAATGAATTTTCTTCAAAGATATAGTTTAAATATAATAACATATTGTTGACAATTGAACAAAAATTGCAAGTTTTGTTGAAAAAGTATTAAAAAAAAGGTTTTCCGATAAATATGTCGATCACTTGACACATCTTTGGAAATAAGCATGTGATAAGAAGGTTGTCACCCATTCTTGGATCCCCAAATTGTAAATCATCTTATTACAAATTAGAACACATGGGGGAGGGGCAGATTCACAGAAATTTCCAAAAATGAGTCACATGGTACATCTTTGGAAATCGGATCTTCTTTTGTTTTCTTCAAATTGACAGTTACGCCAGAAGGGTGTCAACCATTCTTGGTTTCCCTAATTACAAACTTAGTACAAATTAGAACGCATTGGAAAGGGGGGGGGGGGGCGGGCGGATTCAAAGAAATTTCCAAAATGTGTCACATGTCACATCTTTGGAAATTGACATGTGAGAAGGTTGTCACCCATTTTTGGATCCCCCAATGGACCGATCCAGTAAGCCCCTCCCACTGTGCACGTGGGCAAAGTAACACATGCTCTTCTCCAATGCCACGCTGCTTTTTCCTTCCGCGCGTACTTTCATACCCGCGTGCATGCATGTCGGACTTAGTGCACGCACGTCGGACATAAATCATGGCTGGGATTGGTCAGAATACCATGGGGCGTTGCTTACTGGATCGATCGGTCCATTGCAAACCAACCTACAGTAAACTCTGGCTAAGACAGTACTCTCGGGACCAGAGAATTTGTGATGGCTTACGCGAATGTCGGCTTCTGCTGCAAGACGTCATTTTGCCAACTTACACAAATACACAAATTGAATCACGGAGTGAAAAGAATAGATTGAATTAGGGCCTATGAGCATCTGTATCTGGATCATGGAGAAATTTCCAAATTTGTCACATGACAAATCTTTGGAAATTGGTTGTCACCCATTCTTGGATCCCCCGATTGTAAACCAACCTATTACAAATTAGAACATATGGGGGAGGACAGATTCACAGAAATTTCCAAAAATGTGTCACATGACACATCTTTGGAACACACATGAATCATCTTAGCCTTGGTCAATGCTCTCGTCGTTATTCGTCCCGTACGTGGTCAATCGTCGGCATATATCCTCACGCGCTATGCACATGCATGTAAAAATACAGCGCGAACAGCGACCTCATGTGGCCACTATTTTTTTATGCAAATCAGTTGGGGACAATCTCGAGCCTTGGTTCAATCGTCGGCAAAAGCTTATGTTTTTCTTTGTTTTGCGCTGGATTTCTAGCGCACGACCTCGTATGCGAATACAGATAAGTGTAGGCGGGGCTAATATGTGGAGTGTCCAATCACACTTTGGTAAATCCGGACGTCATCAAATTATTTGCAGCTATTCGCCTTTTGCGGACATGACAGGAACCACAGTTTTTGTGCATTGGTGCCTTGTGCAGAGACACACAACGTGTACGTGTATGGATTATGTACGGTGCCACGTTTCACTATGCAAGTTTCCACGCAACGATCGACCAATAAGAAAACGACATTTAAGGTCAGCTAAGGGTATTAACATCATGAGCACCACCCCCAAGACCTCACATGGACGATTGCACCAAGGCTCGGGATCGTCCCCAACTGATTTGCATATAAAAATAGTGGCCACGTGAGGCCGCAGTTCGCGCTGTATTTTTACATGCATGTGCATTGCACGTGAGGATATATGCCGACGATTGACTGCGTACGGGACAAATAACGACGAGAGCATTGACCAAGGCTAGAATCATCTATGGCAATTAACAGCATGCAAGGTTTTTACCCATTCATGGATTCCCCAAATTGCAAACCAAGTACAAATTAGAAGCATGGAGGATGGGCCAATTCAAAGAAATTTTCAAAAATGTGTTACTTGACATGCGAGAAGGCATGCGAGAAGGTTGTTCTCCGTTTGTGGATCGTAACAACGCATCAGGGAATTTACAAAAAAAATCCAAAAATGTGTCACATAACAAATCTTGGAAATGATCTTCTTTTCTTCAAATTGACAGCATGCCAGAAGGTTGTCAACCATTCTTGAATTACATTGTAAGTACAAATTAGAACACATAAGGGAGTGGGAGGATTCACAGAAATTTCCAAAAATGTGTCACTTGACGGTAGAAATTGACATTATGCGAGTTTGTCACCGGTTCATGGATCCCCCAATTGCAAACCAAGTACAAATCAGAATGCATGGGGGAGAGGCGGATTCACAGACATTTCTAAAAATGTGTCACTTGACCCACGTCTGGAAACTGATAGCATGCAAGAAGGTTGTCACTCATTTGTGAATCCCCCAAATGCAAACCAAGTACAAATTAGAGCACATGGGGGATTTACAGAAATTTCAAAAAATGGGTTGCTTGACACGTCTTGGGGGGGGGGGGGGAAATTAGAACACATGGGGGGGGGGGGCAGATAGACAGCAATTTCCATAAATGTGCTTCTTGACACATGTTTGGAAATTAATTGACATCATGCGAGGTTGTCACTCATCCGTAGATCCCTAAATTGCAAACCAATTACAAATTATAATGCATGGGGGAGGGGCGGATTCACAGAAATTTCTAAAAATGTGTCACTTGACAAACGTTTGGAAATTGACAACATGTGAGGTTGTCACCCATTTAAGGTCTCATTCAAATGATGTTCAAATACAGACCAGCGGCATGCATCGGCATTTGAACATCCAATTGCATAACGCGCATCGGCCGCGTCGAAATTCGAACATATTTCAAGCAACAAGCGCATTTTCAACACTGCGCAACGCATGAAATATTGCGTAAAATACGCACTCCTACAGATTTGGAAGTCATTGAGCAAGCCCTATTGCAAACCCAAGTACAAATGCATGGGGGGGATCGACCGATTCACAGAAATTTCAAAAAATGTGTCACGTAACAAATCTTTGGAAATGATCTTCTTTTTTTGTTTTCTAATTGACAGCATGGCAGAAGGTTTTCAACCATTTGTGAATTAAGTACAAATTAGAAGGCATTGTGGACGGGTGCAGACATTTTTTGTTTCACTGCTAGGAAAAGGTGCTTAAATAAACACTTCCAGTTACATTATTACATTGTTGTCAAACAAGAATATCAGAGTTTTCAAACTGGCTTCAAATTTACGGTATGATGTGATTAGGGTAATGAATAAACAGGAACAGACATTTTTTGACAAATGTCCAGTCCGTTCAACAGCCACACAGTAGCCACAGCTGTTTGACAATACCAGCCACTTGCAGACAATACTTTATAAGGTCAATACAACAATCAACAGCAACTCAGTAGCCACAGCTGTTTGACAATAACAGCCACTTGCAAACAAAACTTTATCAGGTCAATACAACAATCAACAGCTACACAGTATAGCCACAGCTCTTTGGCAATGCCAGCCACTTGCAGACAATACTTTATAAGGTCAATACAACAATCAACGGCCACACAGTAGCCACAGCTGTTTGACAATGCCTGCCAATTTCAGACAATACCTTATCAGGTCAATTCAACAATCAACAGCCACACAGTACCACAGCTGTTTGACATTACCAGCCACTTGCAGACAATACTTTATAAGGTCAATACAACAATCAACAGCCACACAGAAGCCACAGCTGTTTGACAATGCCTGCCACTTGCAGACAATACTTTATCAAGTCAATACAACACTCAACAGCCACACAGTAGCCACAGCTGTTTGACAATGCCTGCCACTTGCAGACAATACTTTATCAGGTCAATACAACACTCAGCAGCCACACAGTAGCCACTAGCTGTTTGACAATGCCTGCCACTTGCAGACAATACTTTATCAGGTCAATACAACACTCAACAGCCACACAGTAGCCACAGCTGTTTGACAATGCCTGCCACTTGCAGACAATACTTTATCAGGTCAATACAACAATCAACAGCCACACAGTAGCCACAGCTGTTTGATAATACAAGGACTGTCAAGTCAAACACAGTCAACAGCAATTTAGCACCCACAGATGTTTTGACAGGGATCATGTTTCAAACAGTCTATACCAGCAACTTACTGACTATGACAGTACTTTAACGACACAATCAATAACAGTCAGCCAATATTCATTATCACAGTTGGTCAAGTCATTCTCATGGCCAGTTACTTAGGCAGTCAAAACGGGTCAATAATGTAGTTCTATGCATAGAATTCCATCTGGTCAAAAAACGGTCACCTGACTGATTTGGACCCGAGTAACAGCATGGCTGAGTATGCATGTTTGCATCAGAGGGTTCTAATGGGTCAATTACATAAGTTTATGGATATTGCATATAAAGGTAAAAGATGAGCTAGTATTTGTTCTCTTTTTTTCACTGCTAGAAAAAAGGTGTTAAGGACAAATTCAGTTTCTAATAGGCACTTCCAGTTTACATTATTAAGCCATTTTACATTGTTGTCAAACGAGAATATCAGTTTTCAAAATGGGTTCAAATTTATGATGTGATTAGGGTAATGTATAAACAGGGAGAGAATCCTCATTATAAAATATCAAATAATTCTTCACAATGACTCTGAGTTTTCTAGGTTTTGACTGGGTTATCATTATTAAGAAATATCTGAAAGGTAGAGCAACAGGTGGGAGGGAGGAAAGAAATGTTCGAATTAACCCCACAAAGCAGTGCCTCACTACCAGCACTCTTTATTTGTGGGAGAACATACAAGAGCGCCAGATCACCCATTTTGATTACTTGTTTCTGCTTATTATTTAGGTACATGTAACTAAAAACTAACCTCAAGATCAGTAATGGGTAGCCCAGTAAGCAGGTCATCCGTTCATCCGTCGGTCCTCCTCCCTGCTTCCGGTTCCTCGGGTTTCTGTTTGATGAGGCTGTCGGAACCCTGACAATGTCTTGAGGCAGGCTCAACCTCATCTCAGTAGAGCAATTCCCTCATCAGTCAGTGGTCCTCACTTTGCTGAAAGGATTCAAATAACGAAAGGAAACATTTGAATTATTGAGCTGTATTCGTGCCAGGGCTCGAAAGGGGAAAGAAAACATTGAATTAACCCCACAAAGCAAAGCCCTGCTACCAGAACTCATTTGTGGATAAACATAATAACAGAGTCAGATCGCCCTATAGGCCTATACACAGCCTAAAAGCAGAACAGGAAGGGGACAGACCTCATTTATCCCAGGACAAACCAATAACACCAGTAAATAAAGATGTGCTTCAAACCATGTTACAAGGCTATGATGGCATTAAGTACAAATGTTTAATTCATGGTTTTACAATTGGTTTTTAGGTTTTACAGGCAATCAAAAATTTAGGACATCAACAAATTTAAAATGTGCTCTTCAAAACCCAAAAGTGGTTTCTGAAAAACTAGGTTTAGAACTTAGACAAGGTAGGCTCGCAGGGCGGTTCCAAGACTTGCCACTTGATAATTTTGGCGTTGCACAATCTGCTAGGGTTTTCATGGGATAATTTCAACATCTCATCATCAGGGTGTGCATGATTTGGTCGGATTTCAAACACTGAGTAATAAGTTGGGTATTCCCCTTGCACCAGAAAAAACTGAAGGACCTACAACCTGGCTAACATTTGGCAGGATTGAACAAGATACAATACGGTAGCAATGGCCGCACGGTTACCGCCGGACTAATTACAAAAAGCCATCGTTAAAATTATCAGAATCTATTATAAACACCATTTCAAAATGCCATTTCCAAGACGTACACAATCACTTTTGAATGAAATTTTCGAAATAAAAATTCAGAATTTGAGGATGAGTTTAACGCAAACTTTGAAATTTGAACTTTTGAACTTTGGAAATTTCTTCATATACAGGTCTCTTTTTGTTTCTAAAATAAAACTCACCACAACAATTCCAAAGACCATTCACGGTCGTGGTCACAAGGCCGCGGGTTGACGGCTCTGGTCAAGTCTGTAGCTCGGCACCTCGGGTCAAGGCATGGTTGATGACTCAGGCCAGTCCGTAGGACGACACCCCGGCACAAGGCCGTGGGCCGCCACCTCCACGGAGCATGGCCGTTGGCTAAAGACTCAGGCCAATTCCGTTGGTCCGCACCATTGGGTCAAGGCCTTGGGGTCATCAACTTGGGTCAAGTGTTCAAGTGTTCAAGTTGCACAAGGCCGCGGGTTGATGGCTCTGGTCAAGTCCGTAGCTTGGCACCTCGGGTCAAGGCATGGTCGATGACTCGGGCCAGTCCGTAGGACGACACCCCGGCACAAGGCCGTGGGCCGCCACCTCCACAGAGCATGGCCGTTGGCTAAAGACTCAGGCCAATTCCGTGGGTCCGCACCATTGGGTCAAGGCCTTGGGGACATCAACTCGGGTCAAGTGTTCAAGTTGCACAAGGCCGCGGGTTGACGGCTCTGGTCAAGTCCGTAGCTTGGCACCTCGGGTCAAGGCATGGTCGATGACTCGGGCCAGTCCGTGTGACGACAACCGTCAACCGCCACTTACTCGGAGCATGGCCGTGGGCCAAAGACTCAGGCCAATTCCGTGGGTCCGCACCATTGGGTCAAGGCCTTGGGGTCGTCAACTCTGGTCAAGTGTTCAAGTGTTCAATCCAATCGAGATCCAGGCCTTAGAGTCTGCTGAAAACACTGCTAATATCAACCTCTCAAGAAGTGTAGTCACGGTGGAGTCCATTCATGAGGTGGGATGACGTTCCACACGGTAAATAAAGTTGTTCACTGTTGAAGAGTGAGAAAAAGATCCATTAATGGGGGGTGGTGTGGATTCAGAACATGTTTGAGTTAAAAGAAGACCGGAACGAATAAAATTCATCTGGAACACAATTTAAGTCAGTTAACGGTTGCGATGCATATGAACAGGATGCATCAAGAATATCGTCATTCGAAAAACGATGGGCTAATATGTAAAGGTTAGGATCTTCAAAAATGTCAAAGTGGCCCATCTTTAGGGGTCAGGGTCCGCAATAAGCGGTATCGCATCGCAATTTGCGACACATTCGAGGCCGACTGCGACGCAATTTTTAAAGTGCATCGCAAAACTGCTATATAACATTTTGATCATGAAAAGTTGACACAAAGTGTACTTGCCACCAAATTTCGGTCCACTGAATTCCACAACTATCGGACATGGTAAACATCCATCATGTTTTGATTTAGTTAAGCTTAAATACTGAAAAAGAACATCAATTTTGTTCAGCTGTATAAAATCTGTACGTGTTTAGTTTGTAAACAGGCGGCGCGTACGAGACCACGTGATAAACGCAGCTAATAATTTGGAATCGCACTTATTATCCGGACATAAGGAATGCCCGGAGCGTCAGTGCGATACCAAATTATCCGCAGCATGTATCACGTGGTAAATCACGTGCATGATCGGAGGAGGTTGCAGGACGTACGTCGAGATTTTACCTCGTACTTTGAATCTGCTGCGACTGTGCGAGGAATAATTTATGGATTTATAAAAGAAATAACACGTTTGTACACTATCTGGTCAAGTATTCAACAAACTTTATTCTTATTCTTACTCACTCCCCCTCCTCCCCCCCCCCCCCCCCCCACAGAAGTGTGGTTGGGGTCTACGAACGAATACTTACCTGTAGAGCAATACTACTTATGCATATTCCCCCTACCAGCAGGTATTTTCCGCTAAGAGTTATATACAATAGCGCCCTCCGGCGCCCTACCCATAATACCCCGCGGCATGCGTGCCTCGTGAGCGTCCTCTTTTCTCGAGCGCTAAGTCGGAATACAATAAAGTACCCAAGGCATCGAGAAGAGTGGGGTAGGGGGAAGGGATGCTCTACAGGTAAGTATTCGTTCGTAGACCCCAACCACACTTCTGTGGGGGGGGGGGGGGAGTCTACTTCACTCTACTTACCTGTAGAGCAATACTACTTATGCATAGACTAGCACCGTCAAGGAGGTGGGTCATGCGAGATGCTATTGTGTTTTCACAGGGGCACGTAACAATACGCGTAAACCCTGGATGGGCCCGTCGCTCCACATGTGGGTGGACAAGGCAGCCCAAAAAGGTCGGCATGATAAAGACATTAGTCATAATGGTAGCCTCATCATGCCAACAGAGATGTGATCCCTGATTTTGGGAATCACACGTAATGAACTACAGCCCACCGATACCTACACATAAGAGTTTGGTGGGGTACACAAAATAAAAATTATCATGAAAGGCAAAACATCATGACATGGTACATATAGACACTACAATATGCACATGTACATGTACAGAGCTCAATAAAGAATCAGAGTTAGGAGACACCAATGCTGCATGGTGGGGCTCAGTCAGTCGCCCTCAACACTGTTCTCCCATGCTCTGCCTTTTATTTTGTGCATGCGGACCAATCACACGGATTCTGCCGTTGATATGCCCGTGGTTTCATGGATGACCCTAGCAAACCTTCAGGCAATCTTGTCATGAAAGCCTGCAGGTATGGTGGGGTCACCATGCTAAATACATGTCATGAAAGGCCTGCCTGTATGGCAGGGTCGTTATGACAAAAAAAAACATGTCAAGAGAAGCCTGCTTGTATGGCAGGGTTGTCATAACAAATATGTGTCGCGAGAAGCCTGTTGGTATGGCAGGGTTGTCGTGACAAATACATTTGTAACTGCAAGTGACCGATTCAAAGCGTCCCAGTGCAGCTAATGTACGACGTTAAAGTCATGATTGGCACCAAAAATTCTCCGTCTGGACAAGAATGATTTGATGCCCGGAACAAAGACGTCCGGAGGCACAGAGGGCTCCGACAGTCCTTAGTATAAATCCCTCCTTAGGGAGCAGACATCAAGTCATGATCAGCACCAAAATTCGCTGTCTGAAAACGGACAAGAATCATTTGATGCCCAGAACAAAGACATCCGGAAGCAAAGAGGACTCCGACCGTCTAAGCTAAAAAAAAAAAAAAAAAAAAAAAAACTTCCTTAGGGATCAGACGCCAAAGTCATGAGCGGCACCAACATTTTCCATCTGGAATGGACAATGATTTGATGCCTAGAACAAAGATGTCCGGAGGTAAAGAGGACTCCGATATTCTTAGTTAAAAAACCTTCCTTAGGGATCAGACGCCAAAGTCATGAGTGGCACCAACATTTTCCATCTGGAATGGACAATGATTTGATGCCTAGAACAAAGATGTCCGGAGGTAAAGAGGACTCCGACATTCTTAGTTAAAAAACAAAAATCCTCCCGTAGGAATCGGATGGGCACACTCGGTTCCCATCAGATGTGGTCTGCCTCTATTATACAGAAAACAGTTCTTTACTACATGTATACCAAGAAGTAACAACTGCTTACAAAAAAAAGGCAACCGTAGGAACCAATGAAACAGATGTGAAATTGTTCACTGGTTCACAGAACTCTAAAGATCTCTATAACACCTTTGGATAAGGTGTTGAAGAGATCCTGCAATTCAGGGGTGTTAAAACATCCCCTTAAGTTAACTGACACGGACGTTCAACTGACTAACATTAAGTAATCAACCGTCATGTTAGAAGTCCCTCAAGTGCAGGCTGTAAAAGCCATAGCTTGTTTGAGAAAGGTCTGATGTGAACAGGAGAGCATTACAGCATCCAGTACATCTGGAGAAATTCCTGCGGAGCTGGGTGAAGGAAACCCAAGCTGTGCTGGAACAGAATATTGTTCTGCTCGGAAGAACATTTGTACCTCCAACTGGTGAACCAAGGGAATGGTTATAGCCCTGGAAAACCAATCAATGGGGTCAACATGGAGTTAAGAAGAGGACCTCGTCGTCCTTCTGCTCCAGTTGATTAAGTACCCGAGGGTTAAGAGGAAGACAACAGGAAGGTGTATAT